TCCCAGCTTTCTACTCACCCTTCTCCTTCACCAAAATAGCAGGCATTTATCCAGCTGCAGTTACCCTGTGTGAAATGCATGTGGGCCAATTTGTGCCTCTGTAATTCCAGGGGCAGAACGAAGTCGTGAAAATGTGGGGCTTTGCTGAAACAAATCCTGTTTGTGGGCTTCCACGCTCACATGCTCATACACCATGATGAGGACCAATATCTAATAGAAGAGAGGTGGGGGGTAGGATTGCTTGCAAATCTAATTCCACTACTAGAATTTCCCCTTACCCACAGCTCATATTCCCACTCAGTAGGAAAGGTGTGAGAGATGTCTGAAGGAGGATGGCAGAGAGTGAATCTCGTATCCCTTTGCAACAATGTAAGTGCTAACTGCAGGCAGGAAGCAAGGGGCTAACTAGTAGACATCTAGGAAAACACCTGGGAAAATGGTAAAAAACTTCATTTTTTCATTGTCAAAGAAACCCAGAAACATTTCACATCCCAGCTTCCCTGAAGCTTCAACTTTGCTATGCTTTGACTCAAGCCCTGGCTGCATCTTCATGAAAACCCACACCATACTGAATGGGGCACAGTCAAGGAATGTTAAGCTAATGCCACAGCCAGAGCTGTTGCTGCAGGATGGCAGAGGACACCTGTAAAGCCATAACATGATGGAAAATATAGCAATAACAGCAGGGTTGCAAAATCTTTGGCTGTAGCAAAGGAGGATGAGCCCAAAAGCAGCAGCCATAGATACAGAAATAAATGAAGAAGCTGCTTACCTTCAGAAGGCCTCAGGTAGGTAGGAGTCTTCAATGAACTGCTCATGCCTGCTCTGCCAACCTTTAAAGAGGTCTGGAAAGGGGTAGATCCTGGCTCCACCCCTTCTGGTCACTCAGCTGCATTGCATTGCATTGCATGCACCTGAGCTCCCTGGTTCGGCCCTGCCTTCCCACCAGGTGCTCAATCACTGCTTCAGGCCATGACTTAGCATTTCTGCTGCACCACCTCAGCCCACCACCAAGGCTTAACAAACACATCCCCCAGAACACAGGGCATGTGGGGACTGTGCTTATACTTAAAAAGCCCTAGTAACTTTTAGGAGAATTATACTTCCTGATCACCAATTACATAATTTCTACAAATATGAACTTTTATTATGAATAATGAATACAATTATTTTATTATTATTATTCAGTTTTTTGCAGCTGTGAATGGTTAACAATGAAAGGGAAAGATTCATGAAATAAAACTCTATAAAACAAAATCGAGCCAGGCATCTTCAGACTTGGGTATTTATTTAGGCTTGTAGCATTGCACTCTTTCCCTTTGGACTGGCCTGTTCTCATTTCTCACACGCAGCAGAATATCATTTTCAGAAAAGAGCTAATGCTCTTAAAAAAAAAAAAAGAAAAGAAAAGAAAGAAAAAAAACCAGAACAAAACTAACAGAGTTGTGCCCTGTGTGAGATTGTCTTGACCCTTCGCAAAGGCAGCTGTGCAAGCCAGATCCTCATCTCCTCCCTCAGCACACGCTTCCAGCCTTACTGCTGTGCTTGTGCTGACTTCAGTCATGACTGTATGTACAGGATTAGGCCACTTGTTTTCTTTAGAGAATAACAACCCCAAAACATGATTTATTTTTCCCACTATGCTGGGTTTATAAGTAGCTGGAATTGGCTCTTTGCTCCTACAGCTGGAGTGGGGCACATGGAACAAGACTTCTAGAAATCTCCAAACCATCTCACAGCCAGCAGAAGGCAGAGGGACACTGAACAGTTTCTGGATTAAGGACTGGGTCTCATTTTTCTTGCATTTCACTTGCACTCCCTGTACTTGTCTTCGCTTTTGTCTGTCATTCTCCACAATCCCACTGTAACCCCAGCTGTCCCATGTTCTGAAGAGACATCTTGCATTTCTGGCTGCTGTTGGACAGGCCCACCAAGATTCTCTGTGGAAATATGTCTGGCTCACTACTTTACATCAGTAGAAAGCTTGTGATGGAGACTGTGAGAATTTAGAGGCACTACAGTACTTACATGTCAACACGTATTTGTCTTCACTGATTTATATGGGAGATCTGGGGAGTTACCAGAATACTCAAGCCATTGGCCTTCCAAGGACAAAGCAGAAAAATTAAGGGACTTCTTCCTCCACAGCTCAGAGTAAAGGGCTTTGAGCAGCTGAGCCTATTGTCAGAATCATTGCCAGTACCCAGCAAAAAACTTGTGAAAGTTTCCTCCGTTCTTAGATCTGCAGAAGGTTTTGTGTTGTCACTTAAATGTAGAGTAGCGCAATAAAATTCAAGGATGTTGAGCATGAATGAGCTCAGTCACTCATGCCACAAAGAAGGTATGTTTTATTAAATTTTGAGCCCCTTACATATTCACACCAGCCTCTGAATCACATTCCTTTTCCTTTCAACCAGAGGATGTTCTCCCATCGACAAAGATTTTGCAAGTAAAGCTGTTGTACCATTTTGTTTGCCCTGAACTGAGATGCACCTACTTTGGATCTGCATACCAGCAACTCCTGAAAATCACTGCCTGCAGAGCACGCTGAAGAAGGAAAGATGGTATCCTAGAGATGAACTACAGGGTCACTTTTTAGTAGCAGACAAACTAATCACTCAGTACCTGCTTTGTCTTTCCATACTGGGGCTGGGTTCGACACATCTTCCATTTAGTTCTGAATGACCAGCCTTTACACTTCATTTGTTCCTCATTTAATTTCTGCAGCATCTTCCTGCATCCTTTTTTGGAAACCTCCATATTCCTGGCAAAATACAGTCACCAGGGGCTGCTTAGATGTCCTCAGACCCCCTTGGAATTAATATTTTTTTGTGAGTGTGCTGTGCATTTTCTTCAGTGTTAATATATGTTATCTTGTTTAATTTTGCATCAGTTTGCACGTTCTCATCCTGGGTTGTATCCAGTAAGATCTTCCCATGATACATTTTGCCTTCTGCTGTTCCCACGACACATCTTCTGCTGTGACAGGATTTGCTTTGTGGATTCAAGTTTTCAAAGAGATGTGGGGCCTTTTCCCTTTTAGGCGCTCACTGTTGTTAGGATTTTCTGTGCCGTGACAACTTCATGTTGATAGCAGGTTAGACATGGTCTTTTTTTCAGTTCAGTATTGGTGTAACTTGAAATCCTTTCTAATTTGAGTATCTGAGTTGCTAGAATGAAAGTCTGCAGTTTGTGCCCCGTCATCCACTTTGCTGCTGGTTGTTCCATGCTTTGAGTGTTTCTACAAGGCAAAATGGTAAATACTGTCCAAAGATAGGTCGTATGTTAGAGCACTGGGACTCCTTTTTGAAGAATGTCATTGGACAAGTCACTGATCTCTCCATGCCTCAGTTCCCTGGATAAAATAATACAGACAGATAAAATAATCCTAATGGTAGCCTGACTTCCTTTAGATATTGTGAGAATCGATGCACAGAGATGGGTATCAAAGTAATAAGGGTCACAGGAGTTAAATAAAAAATAAAGCAGAAATTACTTAAGACTTTGTCAGCTACTAAGGATTACTGTTCATTTTAAAATCTCTGCCTGTTTACAAACTGGGATTGTTCCTAACATGTAACTTCAGCCTCCCAGCCGAAGTGAGGGTGTTAGCAAGTCTCGCAGTGCAGCACAGCACACCTTATCTCTCGGTGAAAAATCAAAGGCACATTTCCAGCTGTGCCCATGAGCACTATTTGGTCAATGAACAAAGCAACTGACACCTCATATCCAACCTCCCGAACGATCCCAGTCTGATTCAGGTGCACAAACAAGTGCAGAAATGAGCTCCATGCACAGAACTCGTTATTCAATCAAGCCTTTAATTGTAAATGTTTTAAGCAAGGAATTGCCCTGTTTTATGAAAGCGTGCTCAGCAATACTCCGCCATGGACATCTGTCATTCAGCAGGCGCCACCCAATAAAAGTACTTAAAATGTTCTGTTCCTCAATTAAAATATAAAACAGAGCTGTTTAGGAGCTTTTACGAGGTGATTTCTGTTTACCTGACAGATTTCCTCACTGGAGGAGTATGGAGTGGGATTTCAGTTTCTGATCAGAAGCAACCACTCTACAGAATAGTAAAGCTCCAATTGTTCTGATTTATTCTTTTTAAACCTCAGGAACACTAAATGGGGAACAAAGAAGTCTCCACTGCAAAGTTCAAAACTAGGAAGGGCTGTTGCTGGTTGCGTGCCCTCCCGAAACAGACAGATGACATCAGTCCTGCGTTTGCACTTTGCTGCCGTGCCTGGGCTGAAGAAATGCAGGAACCAGAACTAATCTTTGCAGCCTGCATCAGACCCTGCTACCCTCTTCCAAATTCACTCTGGCAAATCCTAGGAAAAAAAAAGCCTGTTTTGTTCTGCTCTGAAGCAGCCTGTTATGCGGAGGAACAAGACTATGGCTAGGCAGAGAACTCCATTTTCCCCTGATGGAGCACTGCAGGAACGTTGTCGTGGTCCTGGTCTCCTAACCTGCCTATGGCTTTGAACAGAGACTTTTCTTTTTTCCTCCTACTACTTAAACAGAATTGTGCCATACACTTCTATTTCTCCTTGTGTGAGAGCCTCCGAAACTCATCTACCCTGGGATGACGGGTGCCTCTTGCCATTGCTAGTCTGCCCACTGCAACCAGGTCTGTTTTTAATGACTCTCATTAGAGGTGACACTTTCGCAGTACCAGTGCTGCTGCACCAGCAATGATAAGACCCTCTGTGCCATCTGGTAGAATATGTGCCCACATGCAGCCTCACCAGGATTTCCCTGTTACTCACCAGCAGCTCTACTCAGCTGTATCCCACCCGTCTGTGGTACGTTTCCTTGCTGAACTGCATTTGGAATACCTCTGCCAGCTCATGCCAGAACCTGATGAGCAAGGAAATATTGTGCCAATCCATCTTCAGCCTGGAAACTACAAAAAAAGTTTTGCTTTATATTATGCACGGTATCTGGAAAAGCAGTGGTTTGCTCCACAGTCTCCTATGTTTCATTCTATGCAGGGCCTGCTCACTTCATCATATCCAGTCAGCCTTGGGATGAAGGATGACAGTGTCATGATGAGAACACTTGTGTCCTTACAAGATGAAGCCTTCAACACTGAACCTTAAAACCAAGCCATCCAGCTCCAGCCAGGTAATAATTTTTGAAGTAATTCTCCCACCACTGTTACCTGTTGTGTTACTCTTCATCACACTGGGGTCACACAGCTGGGCTCCAGCACCACAGGCAAGTGAAGGACGGAGCTCATGGGGCTGAGCTGAGGGGGGTGAAGGTAGGTTCATTACCCAGTGCCATTCTGCTTCTCCCTACAGCTCCTCGTGGTTGCCTGCGGCTCCAGGGAGCTGCCACATCAAGTAATGAACCTCAAAGTGAACCAAAGTGGGATTCCATGCACATCACACCAGCCCTCCTTTGGGAAATGCAAACCTGTCCCAGGAGTTTCAGGCATCCTGTGTTCATCTTCTATTGCCTCGCTGAAGAAGTAAAACTACCTGCTGCTGAGGTAAAAATAATACTAAATACTGAATAACAATACTAAGGCTCAAGGTGGTGATTCTCTGCTCAGCTGTCATTCTAATCTTCCATGAGAAATAAAATTTCCTTTTAAAATAAAGGAGAGAAAAAGCAAACATGAAAAACCCATGAACAGCTACCTCCTGGGTTTTGCATAGCAGGTACTGGGAGGAGGCATTCTTCCTCAACCAACACTGCTCAGAAAATGTTAGGAAATCTTGTTAGCCTCTAACTCAATCTGTTGCTTTTTCTTCCTCTCCAGCAGCAGCATGACTTAAGGATGAGACATTAGCTCTTACTTTGATACCCCCACTGGCAGTTCAAGTCAGATTCGTCCTGTTACTTATGTGTACCCTTTTGTGAGCATATCGATTACACAAGTGAGTTCTCTAGTACTTGGGCACTCAATACAGCCACACAATGGAGAAAAGCATCCCAGTTAACGCAGAATTACACGTGTGCTAAAACAGGGGACAGGAATAAATACTGGCGTACAACTCAAAGCCACAACTTAAGAGCTGTGTATTTTACTGCAAGGCAGTGCTTTATGCTATTAAAAATAAAGCCTGCATTTTAATTTCCAAGCCATGGCAGAATTGCCATCTTTAGGCCACTTTCGAACACACCAGATTATCTCACAATAATCCAAAATCCAGTGCAAGCCCCTCCCTCCCCTGTTCATTTTTACCCTTTGCATTATGAATGCTGTGAGTAAGGACTGCCTGTTTCACAGGGGGCTTGGTATCACAGAAAGCTGGTTGTTGATCTCTGGATGCCTGCAGGCCAGCAATCTGTGCTACAAGTTACCCCTCTTAAAAAAATACAAAAAGACAAGTGGATAAAACTGGTACAAGCATCTGTAACAAGCTAATTGGACCCTTGTGGGCAACATAGCAGATACAAAATTAAAACAAACAAAACATGTCATTGTACAACTGTATTTTCAGGACCATTATCACGAAGGGATCCGTCTGGATTTTTATTTTTGGTTTGTTTTGTTTAAAAGGACCTAATTATGGCCAGAGCTGGAGTATCACAAGTCTGTTTTCATCTATAAAGAAAGGATATTTTGCCTCTGAACCTGAGAAATTGTTAGAAGTTGGTAATTAGTATGACTTGTTAATAGAGTTTGGCTGTGATTAAGCTGTGATTGAGTGTGAGTTTGGTTCTTGTCAATGCGAATGCCTGTAAGGTTGAGAGATGTTTAATGAGACACCTGTTGTCAGCAGCACCCAGTGGGCTTTGTCACGCCTGATTGGAATTTGTACTACAGAGCTGGAGTGACGCTGCTCTGAAACACAGCAGTACATGGGCACCTGGTGGAGCACGAGGGGGCTGAGGCCTGAAGGAGGGTCAGACCTGTGGGGTACAGTGCCTGGCTGCAAAGAGCAGCCCCTCAGTGAGACTAGGCTCTGCAGTGCAGCTCTGCAGCCTGTGGAAAGTTGTTACTGAGTGCCTTGGGGATGGGCTATGTCCAGCAGGCCAGGTGATGCTCTGCAAGCTGAACAGTTGCTCTAGCTCCAGCCATGGTATTTAAATATGATAAAGCGTCCTTGTGAAGAGCCATGTGATTATGTCTGACTTGGGGAGTGTAACAGGCAAAAACTGCTGACATCTTAATTTAGCCCCTGTGGGGCTTTAACATTTCTCTCTTTGGGAGAAGGCAAGAGAGGGATGCAACCAGGTATATTTAATGCCCCTCAATTTAATGCCCAGGGCCTTTAAAATGTTAGATTCATGGAGTGAGGCTCAGCTCACTCCATAGGCTGATATACATCTCTATCTCTAGTCATCATCCTCAAGCAAAAATGTCCCAGTGAGCAAACTCAGTATCTCCTGGTATTAGGCCAGCAAGAAAGTTTCTTTCAAAGACTGCATTTTTCTGTTAGAAATCAGTATAATTCTCCACATGTCTCCATGTAGCTACTCCCCACCCCAAAATCCAGGACTGATCATAACTTTGCATATTTGGACTGCATACATACAATATTATTTCCCCAAAACATCTTTCAGCATTTTCAAGTGGCTCCTATTTAAAACATACCTCATATTTACGTGAAAAAGGACAAAGAAGCTGGAAACAGCCAAGCCCATCACTTTCACAGTCTTTCAGTACCTGAGGCCTGCCTCGGCTGGGAACGGAGCAGAAACATTTCAGCTCACAGAATGTCCTTGAGGAAGGAGCCAGTGGCTTTGTGATGAAGCTGAGCAACCACTGGATGGCATTGCTCTACACAAATGTACCTGTGAGCACATGCAGCTGAGTGTGAGCAGGCTGCTTCACCAAGGAGATTAATTCAGACCCGAGAGGCTCAGGCTGCTGTGATCCCACCAATCCTCTAAATAATAGTCAGGTTTCTCTTAGCTGTCTCACTCCAAGTTCTGGACACAGTTTGGTCGGAGCGAACAAAGCAGACTTCTCAAAGCACATTTAGTTCTAGGCTGAGTATATTCTTCTTTCATTTTAGGTTAGGTCAAATACTTAGCCAGTTTTTTACACTCTTCCTTCTTATGAGAGGGGAAAAGAATCATTTGTAGCTTGTGATCAAATCAAAGTAACTCAGGGCAAGCACAGCCAGCCAGCAAGTTCTGCTTTCACACGAGTCCGGGTCCTGCAGCCATTCTGGCCAGGCAGCTCCAGCTCCCAGGGCTCAGCACAGTGCGAGTCAGCTAGGTTTGTTATTTGTGTGTAATGTGAAAAGCAGAACTAAAGAAAAAAAAGAAAAAAACTGGGTGCCAGGCATCTATGGCTTTGATGTGGGTTCCATAATTTTGAGACTAGGTTATTATCCCAAGTGTGGTGCCTGTGCTTGTGACAGTGGCCTCTCAGCACACATAATACAACTCTGCCTTCTGCTACAGCACTTATTGATAAGGAGTCAGCTGGTGGACAAATAACCTGATGTTCATATTTTCCCCTGGGGTCTGTGTTTCTTTCATTAACAGCACACACTGCATTGGCCTAGTTTTTTTAACGACTACATCTGGCCAAGCCTATCTGAAAATGTCATTGGCCCAGTTCAGGCCCAGGAGAAATCCGCTGATGGCTTTGGAGAAGCAGCAGGATGTTTGGAATTGCAGCCCCACAGAAGGTGGATCTGAAGGGGAATAATGCAGGATTTTTGAGAGTCAAGTTTAAATTAACTGGCACCCAATAGTCTGCACATCTGTCTTCAAATTAGGATATAACTTACTTACAATTGAGTCTTGTATACTGACTGCTAGGTAAAGATTTCTGGGCACAGATTGCCTATTAGTATTGCCCCAGTTTTGACTGATCTAACAAATTTAATAATCATAGTCATTTGGGTAAATCCACTTAAACTGGAATTAAAATGTCACGGTCAGTTCAAGTCCTGCAGCAGCTCCTACATGTTGGTTCTCAGGTCTGTACCCAGAGCCTGTTGCACTCACCTGCCTCCTTAAGTACTGGAGAAGCAAGACCAGTAGATCACTTCATAAAATGTTACGTTTCTTTTGTGATTCCATTTGTCTCCTTTTTCTGGCCCTACCTCCAAGTCCAAACAAACAAACAAAAAAACCTGTATCCATCTTCATCTGCTCAGCAGTTTGTTAATAAATGTTTCCCACTGTCAGAAACGCTTAGGCTCTGTGGGAAATTTAGGCTCTATTAGTAGTGGGCAACTCAGAGCCAACTTCTGGTGGCCACCACTCTGCTACAGCGACTCCAGGAGCAGGCCAACACTACTGGTGTTGATTAACTGCTTATTGTCTCCTATTAGGAACCACTGATTGAGATTTCTCGGGTCACCCACAGCCCCTGCGAAGTAGCACAAACCATCAGTGGGCTCAGTGGTTTTAATCTCTTTCCACTGACATTGGAGGAAAAGGCAGTTTGTTCTGAACTTCAGCACAGGGCTGTGTTTGAACACAGGCAGGATAAATCTGAGCATCGTGTTTAGCAGTGGAGAGTAAAAGAATAAGAAATAAAAGGAAGGGTGTTCCTATAGACCTTCCATTGCACAACAGGTTGTGTCTGGGAAATATTGCCTTGCACCCAGCATTGGTGAGGGATGATAGAAAGCCTGACCAGGGCACCCACTGCTGTGCTGGCTGTTTTAAGACAGATTGTACAGGCAGTCAGCTCAGCATGCAAATTTGCCCTGGATTTTTCTAGAGTCACAGCAACTTCCCAGGCCTCCAGAAAGTCAAGGTGACCTTCGAAGGGGAAGTCCAGAGCATTGGTAGGTAATGGGAATTTATAAAGAAAAGAAAGAAATGTTAGACTAATTCCAACCCATTACAGAACTCTTAAGAAAAATGAACTGTATCTGCTGAAGTGGCTCATTCTGTTCAGTGGCACAATGTAATGGGGGATCTGTCACTGTCAGTGCTGCTCTTGTCTCTCTGAAAGCCACGGTGCCTTTCACAACCACTAAATAAAAATTCAAGCCAGCTGTCCCACCTGCCGGAGCAGTTTCTATTCTGGGCTCTGGTGTGCTGTAGGTATTGTGCTCATTGATTAGCTGTGGCTTATTGTCCCTTGACATTGTTAGGGAATATTCTCTAGGTTATAATCGCTAGGACTGATATAGGCAGAACATTTCAAACCTTGCTGCTGCAGTTTAGCAGCTATTGTGCATGGTGCTAGGCTGTGGCTACATCTGCAGGTCAGACTGTGGTGGGTAGCATTTTGATAGGAAATGAGAAGGAAACTTTAGAGAAGTTGCCCAAGTCAGAAAAGATGGGGGCCTAGCTGTCAGTAAGGTGTTAGGGCAGGATTAACACCCTTTAGCAGTGGCACAGCTGTTCCATTGAAGATGCTAGCATGCAAGCAGGGGAGGGAAGAGCCTCTCGTGAAATACTGAACAGAGCCAGTGACTGTTAGTAAAAGGGAAGTTTTTACCCCAAGAAGCTGAAAGTGCCTCTTCAAGCTGGTTATTTTTGTGGGAATAAGTTCCAAAACAAGCAGAGTCTCACTTCAGGTCTGCAAAAGAAGCAAAAATATTTACCTCTCTTTTTAAGGTCAGACTGGCTTCTGGGGAGGAGAATAACAGTGATAATGTAGATAATGAAGTCTCTTAAGTGCCTTGGCAGAGAACGTGCAGATTAACACACAGATCCTTACCTAAAGAAGGCATGCAGCGCTGAGTCTCCTCCCCTGAAAGCACTATAAGTTGTGATAGGAGTTGGTTCTGGAAGATAATGGATTTAACATAGAAAGAAACTGGTATTTTGCCCATGATTGTCTTTCTAGGAAAGGAGTCAGAACAGTGAATTTCTCCCTCTGCTGCTTATGATAAAAGTAGAAAATAATAGTTTATCTTTAGCTTTTCTGCTGACCAAACTGAGTTTGTCCAATGCATCAGGATTCCCCAGGACAGCATAATATCAAAGACTTCTACTGGAAGCCTTAGCATATCAGGATGTTAAACACAGAGTTACACTTGGGAATTAGATTATGCCAGCCAAGGGTGCAGTTTTACAGTCAGCTTAAGCTGACCTGAGGCCAGGTTGCCAACAGCATTACTTCCCCATTCAACCTATGTATCAACATTTATTCAGCCATGCAGTCCATTCCATGACTAGATTTGGCTGGGGCTTAAACATGATGGGAGTGTCAGTCTGAGAGATGGGGGATAAAATGGGATCACCCCTTCAAATGGCATCGTAGGCTTAAGCTAATCAAGAATAGTACTGTGAAGTTGTGCAGAAACGGGGATGCTAAATCGACAGCGTCTCCGTGAGAGAGGAGGAACTTTTTACTCAATTTGCACCAAAACCTCCAGAGCCTTGAATTCATGCTTCCCCGTGAGAGAGGGGGAACCAAGAACTGCCTGTCTGACCCCTATGGGAGTCAGGGAGCTGCTAGTCCTTTGCTGTTTCATTCCTCACTCCTCCTTTCATCTATTACAATCACCCTGTCAGAAAAAAAGATTACTCTTAGATGCCACAGCCCCAAAGGTGTCAGGTCTGTACCTCCCTGCAGGATGTGGGCCAGATGCCCACCTCTGCCCAGACCTCTGCTCCCTTTCCCTTAAACCACTCCACAGCCATCCCACAGGAGCCAGGAATGAAGTGAGTCAGGCCCTGCCACCGGTGTGCAGGGAAGCGACAGCAGCTACATCTGCTCACTCTACTCCACGCTCAGGATCTGTGACATTGCTATCAGCACAGCCTGAAACAGAACGGGTGCGAGCTCTGGGAAAGAGTAGAGGGTCTGGATGAAAACAATAATAACCACAGGGATACCACCAGCCCTAGTGGGAGCAAAAATGTTGCTTTACCACTTCTGAGTGCAGCACAGCATATGGACAGTCTGGGACTGTTGTCAGCAACCCAGAATGGGGTAGCTCTGTTCTGGCAAACACCATTTTTTGTCTTTATGACCAAAGAATAGTTGCATGTTGGAAGCTCTGTAGTTGCTAGGGGATGAGCCATTAATATGTTGGCGACTCAGAAGTCAGCTAAAGCAAATGCTGAGATAAAATTACTTTTTACCGCCTCTGTTTCACCCCAAGTGTGTCATCCAGTCTACTTGCTCTGCTTAGGGTATCTCTTGCACACTGTGCTGTGCTAACTTCTTTGTCCTTTTTGATTTTATTTGTCACCTTTCCCAACCAGGCCTCCAAAGAATAATATAAATGTGACAGCCTAGAAAGACTTCTTACATGATAAATCCCTGCTTACTGGCAGAGTAAGACTTCAGGCTGTTTTTCTCCTATAAAAAACTTTCCTCTAGTTGCCTGAAAAGTAAGAATGGCATAAAATGACTGATGGTAATGATGAGAGCTGTGTTGCTAAATCAAAGTGTGGGAATGGGAATGCACCCTACAGAATCACTAGTAATTCTGTGATGGGCCTTAAGGGTGTTACCCACTTCCTAGCCCACAGTTCTCCCTGCCCAACTGTTGGGGTAACTCTGCATTATCTTATTACGGAACAGTGATGCTTTTTCCCTTCCCTGTAGTTTCTTCCTACTGGTGTCAATGGTGGCTTCTCCCTTTTATGCCAGTAGCCTGCTTCACCACACTGCTCAGTGCAGCCTGCAAGTCTTGCCTGCTGCAGTGGCAAGCGCAGCTCTGGAAAGGTTTAATCCAAAACAGAACAAAGTATTCCTATTGGGGGTTGGAGATTCATGATCCTTGCCAACCCTGGCCATTCTGTGATTCTGTGATTCTATTCCAAAATAAATACATCTGTAGATCTCCTGATTTTACAATAGCATTCACTAAACAATGGAGAGAATATAAGTTGAGCATCGCTTAAGCATCCTTTCCTCCCTCCAGCCCAGCACCCATCCATAAATAACATAAAGATGCATATATATATTTTTAAAGCCTGGAATTTTAAAGCAGCTGCTCCCAGTCCCCTCCAGTGATTCCCCAGACACGTCCCCTTTGCCCTGCTACACAAGTGTATGGTTCCAAACCATTCTTCAGTGAAGTAGGTTCTGCTTTTCCTGTTTGCTTTAACCCACACCACTTACAGCTAACTGAGAAACAATACAAAGCCATGTTTTGTGTGATCACCTAGTACCCTGCAAACAACAATATTCATTAAAAAATAGTCCAGGCATACTACAGCTGCCAGCTTCTGTCTCTACTGTGACACGACATATTTTTTTTCATTTTGAGTCACTGAACAAAAGTCATAAACAGTTGCTCTGATCAAAAGAAATCTCTGCTAGAGTCTGTGGCTTGTTCACCCCTTCCCTTCATGCCAGCCACTGTTCATTTCATTGAATGTTCGTTCTGCTGTACAGCTGGCTCTTGAGTAAGTCAGAGCAAATTCTGTGCTGTACAGTAATACATTTAGAATGAATGTGTTGTTTCTATCGATGGAAAACAATTTAGCTATTTTTGGGACATGGGAAGCATATATGCCAAGGTGAGCAACACTGGTATCTGTTAGTACCTTGCCTGTAGTGTCAGTATGGATGTACCTGGACTTGTTCTCATGTGATCAGTGTTGTAGATGCAAACAGTGTTCATTTTAAAAATGCATATTTAGCAGATCAGAGCTCCAAAATAATAATAATCAGTATATCATAATCACTTTGAAAGCCTTCTCAGTTACAAGCCTATTTTCTCTTTAGATACTGTGAGTATTCCTTTAAACAGATGATGAGGGTAGGATTTCAGTTGTAGTGCTACATCACCTATATCTGCTCCTCAGCACTGTTCCTCCAAGCACACCTAGCAACTTCAGTCTGCTCCATATGCAGATACAGTACAATATTAACCAGCCCCTTAATTATGAGTAAAGTATTAAATGTATTTGAAAAATGTAGGAGGTGACAAAACATCCACTGAGTTCTCTGAGGACAGAAACATCATTTATTGAATGTACTTCGGATAACTTTAGTCAGACCATGAACTACATTGCTTTGGTTTGAGAGCTGCACAGAAAAATGTGTCTCTACTTTGCATGAGCCTTGGCACATCTTTTTTTTTTTTTTTTTCCATGTAATTTGTTTCCACCCTTATTTGCAACACAACCACAAGCATTTCGATATTTTCCATTAAAAAGAACAAGATTATGTTTCTGAGGTAGTGGGCACCATGAAATCAGGAGCTGGAATTACACTGTTCTGTATTCTTAATAGAACTCTGAACAGGAGCTGCAAACACAGAGATTCAGAGGAACCAGGAATCCTGGGCTGCCATCCGTACAGCCCGCTGAGCTCCAGCAGGTGGATGTGTGATGGAAGGAGCTGTGCCCCCAGGAGAGTGTGAAGGTCTTGTGCTGCAAGCTCCCAGGTAACCATGCACAGCTCACGAGCTGCGAGCCCTGTGGCACTGAATGTCCATTCTTGCCAGTAGCAAACTGTTCTCTATCAGTGTGAAATAACGCTTCAAATGCTTAACATGTTCTGAATTGTTTGTTTAAATGGAAGAGTGTTTTTCAAGGTAAGGAAGAATGAGACTCTTATGCTTTTTTTGTCTGGAAATATGTATATATAGAATTGTTTGAAAAAAAATAGCCTTGGTCATTCACACACGGAATAATTGAAACAGCATTAATAGCTATTAGCTCAGTGATGAGAAGGCCCTGTTCAGTGAGGCTAAAGGATACAAGAGGTAACAATTGGAATTCCTCAAGACGAGCTCCTTCTCACAGCACACCCCATCCAAAATCTCCTCCTTAACGGCTGCCCGGCTGACTTTAAACTGCCAACACCGACAAAAAGGGGACGTTGCATCTTTTACAAACAGCCTTTTGTTTGCCGTTCTGACACCTGCGAAAAGCAAAATTGTTATTTTCTTGCTGCTTGTTGCTAGTTTGATGCCCGCTCTGGGGCCCTACATCAGAGACACTGTTCAAAACAGGTTGCAGGGGTCCGTTTCCGTGCTGTCTGCCGATGGTGCTGCCTGAAGGAAAACCATGGAAACGGAGTTTGACAGGCTCACAGGGACCCACGGCTGCCAGAGCCGCTGCCTTTGAGCGCCTGATGAAGACATCACAGAGCAAACACAACATTAAAACGCTGCTGGCTGCTTTGCATCACTTAGAATGCAAATCTCTTTGTTCTGCTCGGCCCTTGCGTTTTGTAGCTGAGGAATCTGTGCTATCATCTGACACGGATTTGCTGACCTTTCTTCCTTCCCTGTCCACTCTCCTAAAATATATATATATATATATGTATATATATATATATTCAAAATATATTTAAAAAATATTTTAGAATATCAGCTTTTGTGGGAAGGAGAGTGGCATGGCTCTGTGCATTTTGAAATGGCCCCAGTTTTTTTCAGTTCCTGAGATTTCTATGCACAAATTAAACACCCATATTGCAGAGCAGGCTGGTTTGGCTTGCTTTGTTGCTCCCTGTGTATTATTTGACTTGGATTCATTTACATGGCAACTCACAGGGGTAGATTTTATGTCATCTTTATGCCACAGATTAAAAGGTAAAAGTAATCCTTTATTTGCACAGCACATCCCCTCCAACCCTTTAAGCTGTATAGATGAAAATAGAGGAGAAAAATGCAAACTCTCCCACCACCATAATACTTATTTTATAACTTATGCTAAATTTAAGCTGTGTGGTTATTATTCTGCCCTCTATTTGTAAGTGGCTTGTATTTTAACTGCAGTTTCTGATTTCAGTAACTGTCAGACCTTTGAAATACCCCACACCTTTGTGCTCAGATATGGGATTTTGGTGGCTCCTGACAGGCTGAGCTATGCATGTGGCAATCAGGAAGGCTTTTTTTGCTGATTGGAGAAACCACAGTGAGCACCTGCAGTAGGAAGGAGCTGGTGGGGAGACAGCAAACAAACTGGCTATTCTCTCAGAAGTGATAATTTATCATTTCATTCTCCCTGTGCTGCGTAACTCACACATTACTTACGCTGAGAGAGGGTTATCATCGCTAAACTGGAAACAATACACAAAACTTAGAGCTGCAGCTCGCAGTCAGGAAATTATTTAAGCTCATGTGTAAATCCACCTCCACCACGGTTCAGTAAGGCTTAAATGGGCATTTAGGTTAAGATCATTCTCAAAGACTTTCCTAAAAATACAGATGTAGGTCTTAACTAAGTAGCTCCTCAATAAGCTTTGGGAAGCTTGTCCTCAGGGGCCAAGGAAAACCATGTGTGACTGGTCCCTGCCTGGACTCGAGGCTTGGCACCAGATGAGCACCTTCATGGGTATATCTTGGATTAGACCAGAATGAAGCTACCGGCTCCTGCTCAGACACTGAGTAAGCCATAGAAAGGCAACAGTTTTGCTGCCCTCATCTCTAGGGAGAGCAGTTCTGCAGCTGGAAACACAGGGCAGACCCAGGGCTAAAGAGTTTTTCAAGTGGTGGTCAGGACCCATTGCTTTCCTTGCTGCTGCCACGTGGATGTTGTTCAGTGCCAGAGAAGAAGGGTCTACCGAGGTTTCCAAGTGAGCAGTTGTTTTCAGTTTCTTGTACTGAGCCCAAGCTGCTTTGAGTCTGTTTTGCTGCTGCAACCTGGGAAAAGGCACACTTACCAGCAGTGTTTAGCTGTCTCCGCAGAAACTTTTATTTGTGGGTGAAATCACTGTGCAGTTATTGGAAACAACAGCTGTAAATCTCCACATAAGTGTTGAGGCCTTGTCACAGAGTATTTTCTCAGTCTCCAAAATGATCCTGGTGCTCATTTCTCTCAGCTTCCTCAGTTCCTTATGGTTATGCAGTTCATTCTCTTTTTACTCTCTCTTCCACTCCTTTCTTTTTAGGCTGACTCCTAGAAAGACCTTCTCTTTTCTTGCAGACTCATTGACTGCTTTCCTAACTCAAATCCTTGTGCAAGACCTTGTAGAAGTGACATTTACAAAAAACACCATTTTGAGACCTCATTTTTTTCCTGCCCACTGATGTCCTCTCAGTTTGAATTGCGGTGTTTAATTTTGACTGTGAGGCAAAGTTGGCAGTTTCCTGACTAACCCAGTGTTAGATCAGAAAAAAGAATGAAAACCAGAAAGGTGCCTTAGAATGTCTAAGCGGAAGACAATCAAATTTCTGTGTCAAAAAGAGGGCAAAACCAAGGATGTGGGACTTGCATGAAAAATCTTGCAGACAGTTATTTTTTCCTCTTCCTTTATTTCACAGTGGGACAAATTCCACTTTATTTCTGTTCATCTGTAAAACATGAGGAGCCAGCTGAGCGGAGCATTGGTTCAGAATGAGGGCAGCTGACAAGGGAAAGGTAAAAGGAACTAGCAACTTCTGCAGTTCTCTCCAAGAAATGTCTTCAGTGCAAAAAAAAAAAAAAAAGCAAACAAACTCTCAATTTAATTTCTGAAGAACAGAGGAAGGCAGTAGGACATCAACTAACATGTAATACAACAGACTCCAAAGTGTAAGTAATGCTTTAATTGTTCATATATAGGGCATCATGCAATTCATACACAAGGCGCTTTCCAAATTTTTCTTCATTGTCAAAGACTTTGGAAAATAATCTTCAAAGAAAGCTGAAAGGACTATTTCATCAACTGTGTGTGATGCTTCCAATGGAGCGCTCGTCTCCAGCTCCTTACACCTAAAATCTTAGCTCTGTTTTTCCATCTCCTTGACACACAGAAGTTGGATGGCACAAAGTATTTCCCAGGGAACTGTCCTCACTAGTAGTGACATTGCTTAAGTGGAGCCTAAATCCCAACAGCAGGAAAGACCCCTCCCATCCAGACAGCAGCACTGATCAGAGAGTTTGGAACTCCCAGTACGTTACAGTTTGCAAGTCTACGGCTATGAGACAAAGAGGGATATTCAGAACAGCCTAATTAGTTGCATTTTCTTTTCTAACCCCAGTCAAAAACCAGTCAGACTGTGCTTTAGATTTTGACATCCTATTAAATGCAGAACACAGGCCAATAGCTTTCATTTTCCCTTGTGATGCTACAGACTCTTGTTTTTATAGTTTGACAGAGAGACATAATTAGGCCTCAGAAAGGACAAGTCCAGACTATTAGTTCCCCACAGAGGCTCCATGGAAAATCAGAACTCACAATTACTCTCCACTTTCCCACTGAGGTAAATGTATGGATATCTGCTCTCCAGCATCAGATGTTCTGTTCACAACCTTTCAGCCTATGACTTTACAGTCCTTTCACTTGAAGGGCACAAGGAGAAAGAAAGAAAGGATGATACCAGCATTTGACTTTCCAAAAGAACAATGCACGTAAAGGACAATAAATGACATTGCTAATGCTATAGGTACAGTGCTTCTCAGAGATGCAGACAGAGAGAAAAAAAGAAATTTATCTCCATATTCCTGCCCTCTTCATTGTGGCCCAACAAAATTGGGTTGTCAAAATAATAGTAATAATAATAATAAAAAATTAATTCAACTGCACCACATGTAAAATGAACCAGATCAGATACAGGTTAGCAGACTAAGCACAATTCTGGTAAAGCAGAATGCATCATCAGAGCATGGCATTTAGTGACATTTGTTCATTGGGGTCCTTACCCAATCTCCTTATCTGTTTCTGAGTTAACAACAGCCTCACTTTTTAGTTCTCAAAGACCAATAGAAAATTCATTCTCAAGATGCCTCAGTCTCTCTCTCAGAGGCAGTTTCTTAGTGTGTGTTTGCCAAGTGGTACATACCAGCTCCCACTTGGTCTCAGTCTCCAAATGCTTGGACAGTTTCTGTACATTTCCTGATGAGCTGCAACCTTGGACACATCTGATTCAAATGAGCTCTCATCCTCAATATAACCATGGAGCACTGGTCCTTTGTTTGTTTTTGCAATAGCATCATATTTTAGATGCATCTTCAGTTTATAATCCCCAGTAATCCTCAGATCCTGCTGTGCCTAGCCAGCAGTCCTTAATTCCGTGTAAACCATTCTACAGCTGTCTTTATTATATCATGTGTTACTGTTTTCAAGTCATTACCCCAATCTATCAGCATTATATTGAATTTTAATCCTATCTTCCAAAGTGTTGCTCAACACATTGTCTGGGAATTCACCTCACAAGGAGCATCAGCCCCTGGTCCCTCCTGCCACCTGCTTCCCATTGCTAACCTTGGAGCATGATCTGGTCCTGTGCCAGAGCTGTACAGCACATATTGCACTGCTGGCACTTCTTTTTTCCTCTGGTATTGTCCTTTGTAGGATGTCAAACATATTCAGGACTATTTCATCCCACTGAAAACCCTTGACACCTGATACCACAGAGATGAGCAGTAATTAGGGGCAGGGCCTGTCTGCCCATCTGCAAATACAAGAAAATGCTTTGCATGTCAAATAAGCAAGGTTTATTCCTCACTTTAAAGCCTTGTCCGTGGGTTCTTGTATCTCCACCTTGCTTCAAAAGCACTCCATCACCCAGGGCCATGCAGTTGCTAAATGCACCCATTGCTGGCCCCTTTCCCTGGCCAAAAGGGAGAGCCACGCAGATGCAGACTGCAGCACACTGCTCTGTAGCCACTCAATTAGACTGCCTGTTTGTGCTCAGCCTCTCAAGCACTTGGTGAAAGTAAAATGCTTACACAATTCCTCTGCCTACAAGGCCTTGAAATCTTCAGGGGGCCTGGCTTTGCTGCCTGGTTTTCCACTGACAGGCTGATAGAGACATCACAAATCTCTCCAAAGGCCAGTCACTAGGCTTCTTTCAACATCAAAGGGTGTCAGTGTTCACTCTGCCTAGGAGCCTGGGGCAATATAAATCACACATGAATAGGTGAACTGAGTCTTTGAGGTTAAATTCTCTCTGTATATACAAATATCTCTCCTTGGGTATCTGATGTCATTGCGTTGTTTCCCCATCAATATCAAGTATTTTCTTTCAGTTGTAATATTCCAATGGAAAGCTAGGCTTTATAGACAAAAATAAAAAGGATGTGCTAGGGTGCTGCAGGAAGAGAATTAACTCATTTTAAAAATGTATTGTCTTGGAAGAAAAGTTAGTAAACCGATACTAGGCTTTTTTTGTTGGGCTTCTTCAGTGTCTGTGGCTACAATCTCTTGGGCTGAACCATCTTTCCTACAGTCACTCAGGTGTGTTTATATATACATGCAGGAACCCCTGCCAGGCTCCTGGCTCACCCACAGAGCTTCTGCTTCCATCACAGCTCCCACTGCAGTCAAGCAGCATGGCCCAGCCCCAGAGCTG